ACTTGAAATCCCATTTGCGTCCAGATCATGTTTGGGTTAGGTGTTTGATACTTGGGTCAGTCGGTGATCATTTTGAATTATACAAATATCTGTTTTTATTAATGTATGCGAGTATGTTGGAATTTTTATGAGATACTACAATTATGATAATAGGTTATAAATTCTTGACAAAAACAATTTAAAAACAAATATTGTCATATGAATCGTACCAAAAAAAATTTAGTGACATTTGAATTTCAATTTCCACTTAAATTATCAAATAATTTTTTTAAAAAAAATAGTCTGGTCCGATGTTATCCAGAACAGCACCAAACACAGTATAACCTTAGTCAGACTATTTATCCGGAACAGCACCAAACGTCTTATAATATTATGGATAAACAGTCAGTACTATCCAGAACAAATTAATACTATCCGACAGAAATTAGTCAGTACAGTCCGACGTACCAAACGAGCCCTAAATGTAGAGTAGTTAGCCTGACACGCCTGGTCTATGTCTAATCCTTATGTATTTTGTATCATTTGCTCTAAAAAATATAATTCGCTTTGATTATTAAAAATAATAATAGTAAGTGATTAGCACTTGGTCAAGTAATATTATCCCTCTTCTCAATGTTGAAATTTAAGATTAGTTTAAATTTAAGAATTCAAACTTTCTATGCATATGTTTAAAATACAAATGAGTGATACTTAACACTAATGCATTGAGAAGGACAAAAAATATTAATGTTTATTTTTTTTATCCTGGATTTTTTTTTTCTAACTTCATTTGACGGAATTAATATGTATTTTGTAAATGTCATCACATGTTAGTCCTTGATAATGAAATTTCTTATCTCATTTTTAATTTTATGAAGTAATATTCTAAACTACTCTAAACTTTTCATGTTTCTTTCATGACTTTATATTATGAAGTAGTGGAGAATGTAGATGCTTTGGATTCAGTCTTCCACGCAACGATTATAAGATGGACATTGTATTGTGATTCAATTTTGTACCCGTAGTATTATCTAAGCTGAGCTTGAGAACCTTGGTATTAGATTTGGCTCATTTACAACCCTGATTGTTGATAATATCTTTGATAGCAAATAGCCTCAGATAGTCTCGATTTAATATAAATGAAGTATCAAAATTATGTTGATATTATTGTGATAGTCAATTTATCATATATGATACATAAAAGGGTTCAAATTCGAATGTAACGAGGCGGATACACTATACCTTAACTAACTGACATAACCGACATTGTTATAATAATGACGATATTTGATAACTTTGTTACAATAATATTTACATTTCAGAGAATTTCCCAAACAAATGACTCATGGAGAAGGTGTAGAGCCCACATAAGAAGCGCGTGGGGGAGGAAAACACTAAATTTCTGGGGGCAAGCAAGAGGTAGCAGGAGAAAGAGAAAGAAAGATCTCAGTGATGAATCATGATGATTACGTATTAAATGCATGGATTTGGTGATTGTCCTTTTTGGTTGCCTCTGTCTCTCCACTCTCCTACTCTATACTCCCTGATTAGTCGCCGTTTCAACTCAGGCCGAATGTTTCCCATGACACTCACAGACACTCCACTACTTCTTCCAGTCTACATCTTTCTCTGACAAAACTGATCACTTTGTTTTTTCATCATTATCATCCAACGGCTCTCATTAACCTTCCATTATAAGTTACAATCAAGAACCCATGCTTAATTATTGTTTATCTCTCTCTCATTTTACCAAAAAATACTTAGAGTATGTCCACCCCAAAGGGCTAAGGTAAGGCCTAAGGCAAGGGCTGCTACTATTTATGTGAATAGTGGCAGCCTTGCCTTTTTTGGTTCCATCCCAAAAGGCTAGGGCAAGGGCAAATATTATTCATTGTACTTTATTTCCTATTTTTTTATACTTTAAACCATTAATTTTGGTTGCCACATGTCCATTAATTTTGTTTGGAATAAAATAAGGTTTATTTTTAATTAAACTTTGTTTTCATTTGCAAAACATATGATACATAAAAGGGTTCAAATTCGAATGTAACGAGGCGGATACACTATACCTTAACTAACTGACATAACTGACATTGTTATAATAATGACGATATTTGATAACTTTGTTACAATAATGTTTACATTTCAGAGAATTTCCCAAACAAATGACTCATGGAGAAGTTGTAGAGCCCACATAAGAAGCGCGTGGGGGAGGAAAACACTAAATTTCTGGGGGCCAAGCAAGAGGTAGCAGGAGAAAGAGAAAGAAAGATCTCAGTGTTGAATCATGATGATTACGTATTAAATGCATGGATTTGGTGATTGTCCTTTTTGGTTGCCTCTGTCTCTCCACTCTCCTACTCTATACTCCCTGATTAGTCGCCGTTTCAACTCAGGCCGAATGTTTCCCATGACACTCACAGACACTCCACTACTTCTTCCAGTCTACATCTTTCTCTGACAAAACTGATCACTTTGTTTTTTCATCATTATCATCCAACGGCTCTCATTAACCTTCCATTATAAGTTACAATCAAGAACCCATGCTTAATTATTGTTTATCTCTCTCTCATTTTACCAAAAAATACTTAGAGTATGTCCACCCCAAAGGGCTAAGGTAAGGCCTAAGGCAAGGGCTGCTACTATTTATGTGAATAGTGGCAGCCTTGCCTTTTTTGGTTCCATCCCAAAAGGCTAGGGCAAGGGCAAATATTATTCATTGTACTTTATTTCCTATTTTTTTATACTTTAAACCATTAATTTTGGTTGCCACATGTCCATTAATTTTGTTTGGAATAAAATAAGGTTTATTTTTAATTAAACTTTGTTTTCATTTGCAAAATTTTTTAATAAATAGTCGTATTATTTAATACTTTCTTGATTGAATAAAAGGGAAACAATACAACAATTCTTCATACATATGACAAATCTTTCAATCCAACCTATTGGTTTTGATCATTTAATCAATTCGTATTGCTAGGTCCATCGTCATGGAAAAGTTTTCTTCTCATCACATCCCTTCGTTTCATCTTCCAATAGGACTTTGTTTCAGGAGACATATGGGTGGTATCCATGGCCATGATTTTCATCTTTCTATCCTCAATATCTTGTTCTAGTGCATGCTGCCTTTCAATTGCAAATGCTTCAGCTCTTGCCTTGTCTGCTTCTTCTCTTTTCAAGTCTCTCTCAAGTCTCAGTGCACCATTCTTAGCGATTTGCTCCAAAAATTGTGCACATTCATTGTTTGAAGTGCTCCCTTTCTTCGCCTTTGCCACCTTTCTCCCAATAGGTCTCGGTGCACGTGGGAGTGGTGAGTCTTGATCCATTGGGGAGTCCACTGGCGAATCGTGGAGCGGCGTCTCATTCAACACAACCGGCGGAGCCGTGCAAATTATTTTGAATCTCGAACAATTCTTCACAATTTCCCAACATTGGTGATTCTGGAAACTTTTTTTGCCTTGCCCCGTGGCACCGAACCACATTTGTGCTTGTATGATCTATTAAAAATAAATAATTGGAAATGCTACCAAAAAATGAATATGAGAGCAAATATAAATAATTTGGAAATGCAAGAAACAAATTGATTATGCAACAAAATATAAATACATTAGAAATGCAAGAAATAAAATGATTATGCAAGAAAAAAATAAATATGGAAGAAAATATTAACAATTTAAAATTGCAAAATAAAAAAATGATTATGCAACAAAATATAAATAAATTAATATGCAAGAAAAAAAAGTTACATTAAATTGAATAAAACGAGAATCATAAATATTTTACCTCATCCGTAAGATTTTGACTGCTTCGAAGGTTCTCCCTCGCTTTTGTCAAGGCATCCCTCCATTTCCCCAACTCTCTATTCAAAATTTTACACCTGGAGGATAAGGTCATTTCCGCCTAACCGGATCTTTCATAAAATTCTTCATGAATTTTTCTCCACATTTGAGAAAACTTCATCTCATTGCCTGATATAGGGCAATGACTAACTTTCACCCAAGACTCACACAACACAATATCTTCCACAGTAGTCCAAGCGCCTCCGGCTTCGACAGAAGATGCCATTTGTTTTTTGATACAAATGAAAACTAGTAGAAAATGTGAGTAGAATGTAAAAAATATTGAAAGGAGAAGAGTTTGTATGAAGATTTGGTGTTGAAAGTTTGAGATTGATAGGTATTTATAGGGAAAAAATCCAGAAATTTTTGGTATTTTTTAAAAAAAAATTCAGAATTTTTTTCGCATTTTTTTACCCCAAAAAATCGAGTCCGTCGGATTTCTGGACAAAAAACGATCGAAGCATCCGGACGCGCCACGTGGCATCTTCCCGTTGGGGGCTGTCAGTCGCTGACGTCACACTGACGTTAGCGAAGCAAAATCAAAATTTTTTTACCGTTACAACAGTAAAAAAAAATTTATTTTGCTTCGCTAACGTCAGCGCCTTCGGGCTGAAGCCCAGGCAAGATCTGCCCTTGGGCTTGCCCAGGCTGGTGGGACCCAGGGCTTGCTCGGGCTGAATTTCCTGTGCTGGAGGTCCATTTCGAGCTGGGGGGCCTGTTGCCCTGGCAAATTGGGCTGCGGTGGACATGCTCTTAGGGATAGCACTGTTTTGCTATTCCCAATCAATAACACAGTGACATATGGAAAGGTTATCCCATATATCATTGCGTTATTAGCTGGAGATAGCAAAAAGTGATATCACCGTTATATGAGAGTTTCTCTCCTCATTTACCCCAAAATAAAAAGCAATATTAATAACCTGCTGTTTGAGCTGGTACAAAGAAGACTTAGCCCATAGGGCTTATGTACACTACACTTGTCTAGACAACAAAAATAACTTTTAAGCAATTTGATAACTTTGAATTGCTTAACCAGACCAGTATCTTACGAATCTATGATGAATGAAAACAATGAACTTGAAGTGCTATTTTCATCAAATTCATCCATATATACTGAGAGAAATGAAATGCTTTTTAGCATATAATGCTTCTGTGTTTTCAAAGTGAAATTTGTTTACAAAATTTGGAAATTGGAGACGGCTAAGTTTAATTCGTTTCCTACGTAGAGCTCACTGCATTAGTTCCCACTTTTATGGATTCATCCTCTACATTTGAGGGTTTTGGCAACTCAATTACCATCTGAGACTTGCTTCAAAGCAGTATCAGTGGAGACATTTCTTGATGCAATCTCCTTGGTAGAACCCACTGCATTGGTTCCTTCTTTTGTTGATCCATCCTTTGAATCTGATGGTTTTGGCAGCTCACCGGCGTTACCGTCTGAGACTTCCTTGAAAGCAGTATGAGTAGTGATAGTATCTTGAACACCGGATCCTGTATTGCTTGATGCAATGTCCTTGGTAGAACCCACTACATTAGTTCCTACTTTTGTCGATCCATCCTTCAAATCGGATGATTTTGGCAGCTCACCAACATTAGTCATAGCATCTGGAACACCAGATTTTGTATTGCTTGATCCAATCTCCTTGGTTGAACCTGCAGCACTAGCTCCTACTTCTGTTGATCCATCATTTAAATTTGAGGGTTTTGGGACTTTTGGCACCTCGCTAACATTACCTTCTGACACTTGCTTCAAAGCAGCATCAGTAGTGATAGTTTCTTGAGCACCAGATCCTGTATTGTTTGATGCAGTCTCCATGGTAGAGCCCACTGCACTGGTTCCTACTTTTGTTGATCCATCCTTTGAATCTGATGGTTTTGGTATCTCACCAACATTTCCATTTGAGTCATGTTTCAAAGCAGTATTAGTGATATTTTCAGGGACACCAGATTCTGTATTGCTTGATGCAATGTCCTTGGTAGAACCCACTGCATTAGTCCCAACTGTTGCAGCAGATGCATCCTTTGAACTTGATGGTTTTGGAAGCTCACTCACATTACTTTCTGAGACTTGGTTCAAAGCAGTATGAGTAGTGATAGTTTCTTGAACACCAGATTCTGTATTTCTTAATGCAATCTCGTTGCTACAACCCACTGCATTAGTCCCTACTTTTGTCAATTCATCCTTTGAAATTGATGGTTTTGGTAGCTCGCAGAGATTTCCTTCTGGGACTTGCTTCAAATCCGTATGAGTAGAGATGGTTTCTTGAACACCAGATCCTGCATTGGTTGAAGCAATCTCCTCTGTAGAACCCACTGCATTGCTTCCAACTTTTGTTGATTCGTCCTTTGAATCTGGTGGTTTTGATAGCTCACCACCAACATTGCCTTTTGAGACTTGTTTCAAGGCAGTATCAGTAGTGATAGCTTCATGAACACTAGATCCTGGATTGATTGATGCAATGGCCTTGGTAGAATCCACGGCACTAGTTCCTAGTTTTTCAGACCCCTCCTTTGAGTTTGATGGTTTTGGCAGCTCACTAACATTACCTTCTGAGACTTGCTTCAAAGCCGTAGCAGTAGTGAAAGTTTCATTAACACCCAAACCTGCATTGCTTAATGCAATGTCCTTGGTAGAACCCCCTGCAGTGGCTGATCCAATTTTTTGATCTGACAGTTTTGGTAGCTCACAAAGATCACCTTCTGAGACTTGTTTTGAAGAAGTATGAGTAGTTATAGTATCCTGAACACCAGATCCTGCACTGCTTGATGCAACCTCATTGGTAGAACCCACTTCACTGGTTCCTACTTTTGCCAATCCATCTTTTGAATCTGGCGGTTTTGGTAGCTCACCAAGATTACTTTCTGAGACTTGTTTCAAAGCAGTTTGAGTAGTGACAGTATCTTGAACACCAGATCCTACATTGTCTGATGAACTCTCCTTGGAAGAACCCGCTGCACTAGTTCCTAGATTTTCTGATCCATCTTTTGAGTTTGATGGTTTTGGCAGCTCACTAACATTACCATCTGAGACTTGTTTCAAAGCTGTATCAATAGTGCTAGTTTCTTGAACACCAGATCCTGCATTGCTTGATGTAACCTCCTTGGTAGAACCTACTGCACTAGTTCCTACTTCTGTCTGTCCGTCCTTTGAATCTGATGGTTTTGGTAGCCCAGCAACATTACCTTCTGAGACTTGCTTCGAACCGGAATGAGTAGTGATAGTTTCTTGAACTCCTGATTCTGCATTGCTTGATGCAACCCCCTTAGTGGAACCCACGGCATTAGTTTCTATTTTTTTCGATCCATCTTTTGAATCGGATGGTTTTGGTAGCTCACCAGCATTGCCTTCTGAGACTTGTTTCAAAGCAGGATCAGTAGTGACAGATTGATGAACACTAGATACTGTAATGGTTGACGCAATTTCCTTGGTAGGATCCACTGCATTAGTTCCTTCTTTTTCAGATTCATCCTTTGAATTTGCTGGTTTTGACAGCCCACCAGCATTACTTCGTGAAACTTGCTTCGAACCCGAATGAGTAGTGATAGTTTCTTGAACTCCAGATTCTGCATTGCTTGATGCAACCCCCTTGGTGGAACCCACAACATTAGTTTCTGTTTTTGTTGATTCATCTTTTGAATCAGATGGTTTTGGTAGCTCAACAGCATTTCCTTCTGAGACTTGCTTCAAAGCTGTATGAGTAGTGATAGTTCCTTGAACACCAGATCCTGCATTGCTTGATGCAACCTCCTTGTTAGAACCCCCAGCATTAGTTTCTATTTCTGTCGATCCATCTTCTGAATCTGATTGTTTTGGTACCCCACCAAGATTACCTTCTGAGACTTGTTTCAAAGAAGTATGAGTGCTGATGGTTTCCTGAACATCTGATCCTGTACTTCTTGATGCAATCTCCTTGGTAGAACCCACTGCATTAGTTCCTACTTCTGCAAATCCATCCTTTGAGTTTGATGGTTTTGGCAGCTCACCCACATTACCTTCTGAAACTTTCTTCACAGTAGGATCAATGGTGATAGTTTCTGGAGTACCAGATCCTGTATTGCTTGATGAAATCTGCTTCTTAGATTCCACTGCATTAGTTTCTTCTTTTGCTGATCCATTCTTTGAATCTGATGGCTTTGGCAGTTCACCAACATTACCTTCTGAGACTTGCTTCAATGCAATATCACTAGTGATAGCTTCTTGAACACCAGACCCTGTAATATTTGATGCAGCCTCGTTTTTGGAACCTACTGCAATAGTTTCCACTTTTTCTGATCCATCCTTTGAATTTGATTGCTTTGGCAGCACACTAACATTACGTTCAGAGACTTCCTTCAGAACAGATTGAGTAGGGGTAGTTTCTTGAGCACTTGATCCTGTATTGCTTGATGCAATCTCTTTTGTAGTACCCACTGCATTAGTTTCTAATTTTGTTGAACCATCCTTTGAATCTGATGGTTTTGGAAGCTCGCCAACATTACCTTCTGAGACTTTCTTCAAAGCATTATGAGTAGTGGTAGGTTTCTGAACACCAGATTCGATAGTGCTTGATGGAATCTCCTTGCTTGAGGTGGGTTTAGAATTCATGTCCTGAACTTCACGGACTTCCAGTACATTCACATCCTGAATGGTGCTTGAATCCTTTTTGGGCTCTGGCAAGATGATAGCCGGTTCCTAAAATTTCAAAGAATCCATGATTAAAATCTTATATAATTTTCTATATAAACATACAAAAAAAAAGTACCATTGTGACTTCAAATGGATGTCCATAGTCCTAACTAAATGGTTTAATCTAACCAGCAAAATTGGTTTGACTGGTACAAGATAAAAGAGAAAAGATCATACCGAGAAGGTCAAAGAATATATTTATGCAGAGATGCAAAGATTTTCCAGAAAAATATACTTGCACTACGAATGCAACAGAATTAATAGTCTTAAAACACAGGTTAGCAATAAAATTTAAGACCATGGACTTAATTAAAACACAACTCTAGTTAGACAGGCATAAATCCAGAACCTCTTATTTGGTGTGCATTACGTAGGCCACACATGAAGTAAATCACTTTGACAGGCGAATCATCCAACAAATAAAATAGCATCAGTCTCAACAGCTTGACATTGCACTCACGGAAAATTATTTGGTTTATGTACCCTTTCTATAGAACTTTTTCTTTAATGGCAGAAAAAGAACAGGGAAGTTTGATGTCATGGAAAAAATTTGGATTGTCCAGGGAACTCATAAGAAAGGAGGGCCACCCAACTTAATTATGCCGGTGCTGTAGAAAATTCACATAGTACAAAAGAAGTACAAACCTACTTTGATTGAGGAAATATGTTTGAAATAATGTAACAGATAATGACTGCATAACTTACATGGAGTGCACTAAGATCATCAAAACGTGGTTTATCTGACCAGGACACATCTTTTTCCTGTTCTGTAGGTTGCTTTTCTTTGGAAGGAACGTTTTGATAACTAGAATTTGAAGAAGCTGCCTTCACATCCAAATTCTTAGGGAGATTGACATCTGCCTCTGAAGGACCCTTCTCTTTGCTCTCACCATGCAAATCAGAATCCTGCTCTAAAGACGGATCACGCATTCCAGCTGATGCCGGAAGTGGAACCAGTTTAGATATCTCAGCATGCATATCAGAAGAAATGGAATCAAAGGAAAGGATCTTCTCAGATTCTGGAGGGCTTGAATCATAGATTGGCTCCTTATGTTGATTGTCATCCAGCATCCCACTCATAAATTGGCTTTCTGACTCTTCAAGTGGAGGTTGTGGTGAAATCCCGAACTCCGCAGCATGATCACCTCTCGGCTCTAAACTTCTTGTTCCACCTTTCCTAACATCTGAAAATCTTTCATCAATTTCTGACACTGATGACAAGCTTGACCTACTGCTGTTGTCCCCTTTAAATTGTCCTGGTTTCGACCGAATGTCATTCGTTATTTCCACAGGATTAGACCCTCCTGTACCAGACAAGCTCGGTTCCAGATTTTCCACTTTGCCCAATTTTATTTCTAGCTCATCATGTTGAGCTTCCCTTTTTCCAGCGCATTCCGTTTCTAGAGAATCGACATCTTCAGAGGATTGACTTCCATGGCCAACCAGATCATAAGCATGGTAAATGTTGGAGATCACTTCTGCTTCTTTAGTAAAGTCTTGCTCGCTGAACTTCCTATCATCCATATCTGCTGCAGAACTCACTGATTCAGTATCAGCAGTGGAACTCAACTTTGAATCACTAACATCACTTGATTGTCTTTGTAAAGAGGAATAGCTTGTTCCTTCTGAACCCAACTGCTCCGGTACAAAAACAGGTCTCCACTTAAAATCTTGCCTCTCTTTCTTGGCATCCCCGAAGCTCGATGGTCCCAAACTGAAGCTTTCATGCCTGCTGAAGAACGTTTCCTTGGGGTGAAATGTCATAAAACCTTGTTCAAAATGGTCTCCCTTGAGATCAGGTTTTTCTTCATTTGGCTCATAAGGAAGATGAAAAGGGTTTCTTCTTGGCAACAAAATTGATGGAGCAGAACCCGGAATGGGTGGTAACCCCATACTCTCATAGGAACTATCATATGAAGGATCAAATGGGTTGTGCCTTGTTGTTGAAAGTGGTGTAACATTAAAAGGATGATCAGAACTATCTAAATCAATTAGATTCTTCTCAGCTGTTAAACTGAAGCTTTTTGTTGCTCTTCTTCTTGCAATAAGAGTCTCCAACCATTGGTTCCTCTCAAGCTCCAAATTCCTCAAATCCATGACATTCTTTTGGTCATCCTCTGTCCACTTGATTGCAGATTTGCTTTCATCATCCTTGCCACCCTGTGCTTCTTCCTCATCACCCCCATCTTCTTCTATTTCTCCACGCTGGTTCACAACATCCTCATATGACTCATTACTGCCATCATTACTCTTGTTAGACGCAGCATCAGACTCATCATGGGACATATGAGCAGCATCAGACTCATCATGGGACATATGAGCAGGATGTGGAGCTTCTAAGTCTAAAAGCGGGTGTAGCTCATCAAGAATGGGAAGGATGTCGGCCATTGATGCATCTGGTGATGAACTCTCCGCGCCATCTGACCCAGTATCTGAAGCCTCATCATCACCACTGCCATTTAGAGAAGGCTCCAAGTGATCACCCTTGCGAAATGGCTCTCGGTTCTCATGTCGTAGCTTGTGAACCAAAGAATGCTGCTTCTCAAAAGCCTCCACATCCCTTGTCATGCCTTGGTTCCTCACTTTCTCTTTATGAATGTTTCTCCGGCTTTCCAACTCCTTACTGTCTATTTCTCTTTCCATATCCTCAACCGCTCTCCTCTCACTCTGATTGTGCTGCAAACTCTCATCAATAAGTGGCACATAAGCAACTGAACCACCATAATCCTCAGCCTCACTGCTGTCTGCAATCTCCCTTGTCTTTCCTGAGAATCTCTCAAAGGAAAAGCCCCCATCTCTCTGAACAACAACAACGCCATCCCTCGAAACCCTGGTTCTAAGAGAAGCAATATCATGGCTACTCTTCTGTTCCTTTTCAATTTCTGGTATGTTGTTGGGTTGGCCAAAAATCAAAAGGGTCCCAAGAAGAACAGCAGAGCAGACAAAAACAGGGGATGCAGTCACCAAAAGAGAAAACACATAAGGAAATGCTCTGTGCAGACATATCAAGAAAAGCAGCATGGCCACAAGAAATGGATGATTACAAGCTAATCTGTAACTTGTTCTGATTGGTATGGTCACACATTTCCTGATTTTAACTCCCATTTCTACCACCAACCCCATGTTTCTCTGTCTTTTTTACTTCCTCTGGATAATGGATAAGGATATTAATTTCAAGTCCCAATCTGTACGTATAGAAAACTAATCAGACAACATAGTCATATGGGTACCCAACAAATCAAAACCAAAAGCAAAAAATTGTTAAACAATTAGCAAAAACACGTTCAGAACAAAAGCAAATCAGACGAAGAACAATCCAATACCTGAAAAGCCACAAAAAAAAATTGAGACTTTTTGCAAAAGGGAAAATGGAAAAAATGAGAAATACCTCGGCAAAGAAAGGACTCACCAGAAGAAAATGGCAATGTAAATCCTCAGCTTTGAACCCTCTGCCTCTCCTCTTTTTCCTTCCTGCCCTTCATGCAAACCATCTCGGAAACCTGAAAGTAATGTTATTTTTTTTGTTTGAGAAAATCAGAGAAACCAAAATAGCATATAGTGGGAGCCATGCATGTACATTCTCTGTTTAACCACATATTTTGAATAAAAAATGTTGATGGGTAATGTGAGTGGAGGGAATGATCATTGCAACCTCCTCGAACAAAGGCATTGAATATTCATTTTCTTTTGGTCGAAAGTGCATAAGTCTCACCTCAAACAAACTATATGTTTTGCTCACGTAAAAAGTGCATGACTGATATGGGACTTATGGGCTTTGACCGATCATAGCTAAACTTTTCGGGCCTGATCCAATCCAAGGATGTAGTGTTTTTTTAAAAAAAAATACAAATAATATTGGTGAAAGGGGGTATCGAACTTACCTCCTCGAATATGCTAAATGCTCTTGGTCAATTGAGCTCTTTCCTTCTAGGATAGAGTTAATTGTAGCAATAACTCATGAATTATTACCCGACTTTCAGTTTAGTCCCTAAGTTCGTTTTTTGAATTTTCCAGTCCCTGAATTTTTTTTTGTGTCACGCTTTCATCCTTGTATTCACTTCTGTTATGTGACTGACTTTTGAGGCAAAAAGTGTTCTGACATGTTACAGTTACTCCCCTAACAATCCTACCAACCTCAACTTACCGAGTGCGTGGGATCGTTAGGGAAGTAATAACCTAGTACAATCTTTTTGTCACTCAGAAGTTGGTCGTGTGTGCAACGCATGATCAAAATATGGAGAAAATTAAACGGAAATGGTGACAATGATGAAAGTCCAAGGACTATAGAATTCAATAAATGAGCCTAAGATTATATTGACATTGGTATCAAATAAGTACTACAATTATCATGATTAAAATGTTAGCTTTCTTCACCACCTTCAACCTGATATACACGCTAGTATGCTACATATAATACATTCATTTCTCATCAGTTCCCCTCAACGCCAATAAAGCAGCTCCATAAGCAGCCTCTGTTTGAGTTGCACGACTCACAGGTAAGCCAAGTACCCTCTCTCTTATCTTTGTCCATTTCTCATTTTTCGCACCACCCCCAGCTGTGAACACTTCATCAACTTGAGTTGCTCCTAGATCCTTCAGCAAGCTGTAAGCTTTTGCCTGTTTCATTTCACAATCACAAAGTGAAGGTTTTATTGCCATCAGCATCTGGTTTTTATTTTGTTACGTGTCTCCTATTTCAACAGCGTTGATCAAGTTTGATCAGAGATAAGGCAATCTCCATACCTCTATGCGTGCAATGGATTCAAGAATCCCATGCAAAAACTCAACCTCGCTTTCTGGACGTGGATCTAACCTGCACGAAAACAAAAACAAAAATTAACCATTCAAACTACAGGAGATTATTAGTCCAACGCAGAGACTGCACAAGCAAATATTGTGAGCAAAGTCAATGCCAAATGAAGAATTCCTTTTCTAAAAGATCTAAAATTAACTATTGCTTCCCTTTTGATAATTTATGAGTCGTGACGCACTAAACCCCTAAGCGAGGTTTTATATACACTGAAGTACTTTGGCAGATTCATCATCTCTATTTTCTCCTTCTAAGGATAGTTGGCATTTTCCTTACCACCCCAAGAACTTGACAAGAAACATTTTGAGCTGCATGCTTCATCAAATTGATATACTTTGGAACACTAACATATTTTTTTCCATCAAATAGAGATAAAAATATTGAAATGTCTGGTTTGAGATTTGCTTTCTTCAGTCATGTTATGTTGACAAGCAGATTTTCAGGTGCAAGACTTTCTCATGTAAAGGGTTTTTGAAGCATAGGATAACCAAAATCCCCATCAGTTGTTCATCTCTTAGTGTTAGATGACCAACCCCTGATTACATGATCCTATTGTTAATCCCATCCAAGTTGCAGCTGATTATTTATACTTTGTACAATGAACGTGGTGCAGTCACCATGTTCTGTTTCCACTAAATAAACAAATGGGAATATATATATAGATAATATTTCTAGAGAAACATCTTATCATGTATTACTTGTATTACGAGAAAGATTGACCATGCTTCTGCACATTGAGAACCTAAGAATACATGCAACATACCAGGATAAATTGGATAATAAAGTCAAGCATCTATCATTCTCATGATATTTCTTTCTAGTTCCTTCAAGAAATACAGAAAATTCCACATACCTAGGAGCCATATTCGGATCTGCCACTGGAAATCTCTCGCCAATTGTTTGCAGTGGGTAGTAGTCTAGAAGAGAGGCTTCCATGGGATTAATTTGTTCACTCAACTTCACCAGTTGCTCATCAGTAAAAATTTGTCTAAGAACTGCTCCACCAGTATTTGAAGCACCTCCAACAAGCCACTTATCATCAAGGCGATGACTATACACCCCAAACCGTGCATCTTCAATCCTAGTAGTGCTCAACAGTTTTATGGCAAGTGTTGAACCCAAAGAAGTTACCTATGTAGAAAAATTATACACAAATTAAAGTAAGGATCAATAGTGGGCATGAGTCCTTTTGGAAGCAACAAAACCTCAGGAAAATAATAAATGAAACATATGTACAAATTTGTAAAAAAAAGTACTAGGAAACTCAATGTACGGAGCAAGATAAGGTCTGCATAGGATTTGGAGGTGCAGAAACAGAATGAGGTTTCATGGCCATAACTTGAACCCCCAGAATATTTAAGACCTGGTGATGAGAGCTTTCCAGTATGGCTAGCCCACAAGAACTTTTCACATTTAGCAATGCATACAATGAAACTTTCTGAGTGAGTAAGAAGGTACACATGGAACTCTTACAGCTTTCCCAGGTTGTGTTGCACGAGCTGCTAGAAAGGCTGCTATACTATCAGTGGTTCCTGCGCATACAACACAATCATTTGGGAAACCTGCAAGGACATTTTATATATTCAGGTTTAATGTGCAACAGAAAGATGATAAGACATGCACTGTATGACTTGATGCTATTTCCATAATTCAGTCTTAACCTGAATAAAAGAAGCATATAAGAACAATTCGAAGTATTTCTTTTTCCTATCTGATGCATTAGCACTGTTTGCTGGATGGAACTACCCAGAATTGTATTCGTTAGTAATGAGTGTTATTTCAGACTAATGACAGACAGTCTTAAAAAGTCATGATCATCTCCCATCATCTTCAAATATAAATCTACTACAATATCCAGGAAAACACATATTATCCACAGGGGAAATATGAACATGTTATTTCATACATTAAAGTTTTATGTGGTTTCAAAAGACACTCTTTATTAGTTGTTGTTTTTCCTAGATAGCAGTGAACCATAACAAATTGAACGAAAGTTACTTTTAAGTTTGCTACTGTACAGACTTAACATTTAGGTTAATTTGCTCAATGATCCATTGCATAAATGCATAATAGGATTTGTGTATAAAAACAAAAAAAATTAAAACAAGTTTTTAAGTGCTATACGTGTCCACTAATAGGAAACTTGCCAGGAAAATATACCAAAATCTGATCTTATATGCTCTTTCAAATGACCAATTGAAGTTCCAGGAGCTCTGACAGAAGGTAACAGTTGTGAATATGGCTGAGACAGGAGCCAAGGTGGATAGGACTCAAGCTCAGGATCATAACCAACCTAAGACATTTAAATGAAATTATAACATCTACAGACAAAAGTTTAATGATTTACAGCCAGAAGATGTGATGTATAAAGATCACTGAAAAATACCTTCAGGGCATTATTATAATCAGACACTCCAAGCCTTCCATGAAGAAGCCACAAAAGCCAATCTGCTTGGTGCAACAAAAGTGCAGATTTTTTATTTGAATCATCATTCTCCCACCATGAGACAAGCTTGCACAGAGTGGAGGAACCAGAGCAGACTGTATGGTTTGGAGGAGCTATAGACTTAACTGTTGGCAAAGCATCAGGGCAACTCTCGTTATATAGGAGAGGTCTCCATAATGGTTCCCCTGTGTTGCTGCATGTTTAAATTCAAATGCCTGCTTCAAATGAGATTATACAAAAACAAGCATAAGCATCAAATCTCTAAGATATCCACCTGTCTACAATGAGAGTAGTTGCAGAAGTCCCATCAATGGAAATGGAAGCAACTAGCTTGCGGAGATGAGATGGAATGTCTTCAAGTAGTGAGAAGAGTGTAGCTTTCCATGAACGTGCCCAATCCACCTTTTCTTCACTCTTCCTAAACAATAGAAAGCAGATATCAATTACTTGGAGTAGAAAATATGGTGCAACTAATCACAAAAGCATTTCCTTCTTCTTGGTAAGGTCCACCTCCACTATACTTAACTCCAACTTTGATCTTTGATTTATCCAGTTATATTTGAAAACCACCAATTCCTTGTAGCTTCTGACTGAAAATTTCAATACAACTGTCCCCCAAAATTCCAAAACCAATTTCTACCGTAGAAATTCTCTCAACTATTAACCCCATTAAAGTACTATTCAATTCTCAGTCAAGCACAAGCCTTTTTTAATACAAGCGATAAATTACTCTAAATTAATCTAACCCACGGGGAGGGGGATTTGAAGTTGGGTGCAAGGGGGGCGGGCTCACTGCCCTGGCCAACTGGCCTAACCCACATCTGTGATCAAGCACAAAGCCTTGTATAAATTTTCTACGCACAGACATATAGAGACACACACTCCCTAGCAACACAAAAGTTTGATTTCTACTGATCAGAATAAATGTTTTTTTTAAATGGTTTCAAGCATTCCATCTCATACTAGTCCCTGGAAGCAACAGAATGGATATATAGAACCCAATAAATTAAAATGGAACTAAACACATATTATTAAAAGAAGAGATATATAGCAACACAAATTATTAGCATACCATAAAATGAGGATATTCTCTCTTTCCCTCAGCATGAATTGTCCCTCGCTTGTCGATGAGCGCAAACCTCGCTCCTGAAGTACCAAAGTCCATTCCAAGATAAAGCCTCTCCCCAAGTGAAACCCCCACTTCAGCCTCATTTGTGTTGCTTCCAAAAGCCATTGGT